ATGAAGCATTAAGGTTATGTATTGATTACAGGGGATTGAACAGGGTCACGATCAAGAACAAGTACTCCCTCCCTAGGATCGATGATCTTTTTTATTAGTTGCAGGATGTGTAGGTCTTCTCTAAAATATACCTGAGTTCAAGTTACCATCAGGTAAAAATTAAGGCAGAGAACATTCTCAAGACAACATTACGAACTAGGTACGGACACTATGAGTTCTTGGTCATGTCATTTGAACTAACCAACGCACCAACCATCTTTATGGATTTGATGAACAGGGTTTTCAAATAATGTCTGTATCAATTCGTCATTGTATTCATCGATGATATCCTGATCTATTCAAAAAGCAAAGAGGAACATGCTCATTATCTGACTCAGGTTTTTCAAGTTCTCAGAGAGAAAAAATTATATGCAAAGTTGAGTAAGTGTGGGTTCTGGCTCAAGCTTACTACCTTCCTATGGCACATCATATTAAAGGATAGAGTGTCAGTGAATCCCAAAAAAGTTGAGACAATGCTTGGTTAGGAGAAATTGACCTCAGTTAAGGATATTCATAACTTTCTGAGAATGGTAGTTTATTACCGCAGGTTTGTAGAATGATTTTTTAGCCTAACTGCTCCTTTGACCTGACTCACAAAGAAAAATGTCAAGTTTGAGTGGAACGAGAACTGTGAAAGGAGCTTTTCAGAACTAAAGAAGTAGTTGACTATTGCACTTGTGTTAGCCTTGTCGAGTGGAAGAGGTGAATATACAGTTTATAGTGATGCCTCCTACCTGGGACTGGATTGTGTTCTAATGTAGTATAGAAAGGTCATAGCTTATGGATTCAAGCAGTTGAAGGGTCATAAGAAAAACTACCCCATCCATGAGTTAGAACTTGCCACGATTATCTACGTTTTGAAGACTTGGCGTCATTACTTGTATGGGGAGACTTTTGAGATTTTTACTGACCATAAGAGCTTGAATCACATATTCACTCAGAAGGATCTGAACATATATCAGAGGCGTTGGATAGAGTTCTTCAAGGATTATGATTATAATATCTTATATCACTCAGGTAAGGGCAACGTAGTAGCTGACGTGCTCAACAGAAAAAGTGCAGGTATCTTAGCTCACCTAATAGTTTCTAAATGTAAGAAAATAAGGGCCGCACAACAGATACGACTTCAGGACTTAAGGAGAGTTGCATGCTTAACCCACCTAACTGTCCAACTCGAATTGATGTAGAGAATAAGAGAAGCTCAATTAACCGATTCCACCATAGCCGCCCTAAAAAAAGATGTAGAACAGGGATTACATCAAGAATTTTGAGTCTCTGTTGATGGATTGCTCAGGTTTCAGGACAGAGTGTATGTTTCAAATGATAGTTAACTAAAAAGGGACATCATGACAGAGGCTTACCGCTCTAAGTTCGTCATACATCCCGAAAGTACTAAAATATATCAAAGTATGCGACCCCAGTTCTAGTGGAGCAGGATGAAAAGGGAGGTAGCCGACTTCGTTTTCAAGTATCTAGTATGTCAACAGGTTAAGACAGAGTATCAGCACCCAGGCGGGTTACTTCAGCCATTACCGATCCCGAAGTGGAAGCGGGAACATATCACAACGGGTTTTGTAATAGGGTTGCTTAAGGCACGCTCAGGACGTAATGTCATTCGTGTAATTGTCGACTGCCTGACCAAGTCTTCTCACTTCTTGGCTATCAAGATGACCAACCCATTAGACAAGTTAGTAAAAATGTATATCTAAGATATAGTTATGTTACATGGAGTTCTAGTGTCAGTGGTATCCAACTGAGACCCCAGGTTCACTTCTCGATTTTGGTCTAGTTTTCTTTTCAGCAAGCCATGGGAATGAGACTGTCCCTTAGCACCACATTCCATCCTCAAACCGATGGACAATTTGAGAAGACAATTCGCATACTGGAAGATATGCTTCGAGCTTGTGTTCTAGACTTCGGAGGTCATTGAGATGATCACCTACCCCTAATAGAGTTCATCTACAATAACAGTTATCAAACAAGTATCAACATGACTCTGTATGAGGCATTGTATGGTCGCCCATGCAAATCATAGATCTGTTGGGAAGAGGTGAGTGATAAGAAATTATTCGACCCAGATTTTATGGAGGAAACTACGACTAAGATAGTTAAGATCAGAAAGAGCATCCAAACAGCTCAGAGCAGACAGAAAAGTTATGCAGACTCTTGGAGGAGGGATTTAGAATTTGAGAAAGATGACCGAGTGTTTCTTAAAGTCACTTCTTTCAAAGAGAGCAATAGTTTTGGCAAGAGAAAAAAAATTAGATCTCCAGTTTATTGAACCATTTGAGATCTTAGACCGGATTGGTATGAATACCTACAGACTAGCACTACCTCTGAAGTTATCCAGGGTTCATAATGTGTTCCACATATCTATGCTACGCAAGTACAACCCGGACCCCTCACGCATCCTATCCCATGAGCCTTTTTTACTCCAGGAAGATCTATCTTATGAGGAGGTACCTGTAAGCATTGTAGACTGAAAGAGTAGGGTACTCCGCAGCCGAGAAATTTCATTCATCAAGGTCTTATGGCATAACCATACGTAGGAAGATGCCACTTGGGAACTGGAATCAAGCTTCAGGGCCTAGTACCCCCCCCCCCCAAAGGGGGATCAGACTACAAATAAGGAAAAAGAAGAACCAGAATTCTAGCCACCAGCCCCCCATTGGAGAAGAAGAACCAGACGCTGGAGAAGGGAGCCGACCATCGACTACTGTCACACTGGAGCCACCTCCGACCGCCAAACAAGTAAAAAATTCTTTTACTTACTCGGAATTCGATTTCGAGCACCCCTGTGGCCATATTAGAGCAAAACGAATGGCAGGGGAACTGAAAACTGCGGACAAAGCTCGACGGAGTCATTGCAGGCAAAACTCGCAACCTCATCCGATGAGCCCCTTCTCATTTCCCGTTTCGTGTGATTTTTCCACCGTTGTGTTCACCATTCTGTTTTTTGCAGGTTGACTGAAGAAGGAACCCAGCTGTGAAGGTGAGCCGGCGGAGCCACTGCACCTAGAAAAACCACCACTGGTAGGTTTCTATTTTCTGATTTTTTTTAGCCAACCGAGGCTCCGTAACGTGTTTTTTCGCAGGGATACGTATAAAGTCGGCCGAAACTGGCCAAAATCGACCGAAAATGGCCAAAATCGACCGAAAACAGCCAGACTGAGGCAAACCGCCACTGCAAGCAGTGGTGCCGTCGTCGGAGCACGGTGGTGCCGCCGTGATGGAATTCTAAAATTGGTCGGAAAGGATTTTTAACACCAATTTTAGATTTTTAGGGTATTTTTAGGTATGTGAAGTGTGTTTAATCTCCACAAGAAAATTTAGAAAACTTGGGGACCGCTAGTAGGTGCAATAGAAAGTTCAGTATTTCAGACACTGATTCGGGTAAAAATCTTTCGTCATATTTTTTATTATAGAATTGAAGCTTAATAATCAATAATATAGTATTTTGTGAAATTTAAAAAAAAAATTGAGAATAATTAAAGATTACTAATAAAGCCGGAACTAGTTAGTTATTTATTTGTCATGTTTAACTGATTATTTAATTTTACAGCTTTAAATAAATGATAATATAGTGGAATAGTTAAATGATTCAATTGTACTTCCTTCATGCATATATCACTTGTCTTGCATGATTTACGGTTGATTTGTGAAATATGAAATTAATATGCAAATGAAAAATTGCTTGATTATATGAATTAATAAATGATCGTCTTATTAGATATTATAGGAGATGATGGACGGATCGGGTACATAGGGAACCCTATCGTGAACGTTACCTCATACTGGATGGGGTATCGATGAAGGGTATTTTTTGCACTCATAGTGGACGGGGTATGGGGACAGTCCGATTCACCCTCATTTCGGACGGGGTATCGAGGGATGATATTTTGTCGCTCATACCGAACGGGGTATGGGGACGACCCAATTCACCCTCATACAGAACGAGGTATCGAGATATGGTATTTTTGGCACTCATATTGAACGGAGTATGGGGACGACCAGTTAGTTGACAATTTTAGATATTGAATTCACGCGTAGTGGGACATCCCTATAGATCCTTAAAGATACTAGTAAGCATATAAAAAAAAAAATTGTTCTTACTCACTTGAATATGAGATGATAATATTATTTGAGCTATTGTCTCTATAAGTCGATTTTGAAACTCTCGTAACAGTAAGTGTCTCCCTGAATCCTAATTAGTAAGAGGACTATGAGTAGGTGTCCTCCCGGATCTTATCAAGAGTTAGTGGAGGTTAACTTCTATACAACATTTATTTATTATTTTCATATGTTATTACGTTTTTTTATGACCTACTGTAAAATAGACATTTATGTAATTCTATTGGGCATGCTAATTTATGTGTAAGAAATGTAAACGCTAACGTTATTATACGTTTACATATTTAAATTATGAATTTATTTTATCCAAGGTTCTGGGTTTATAAATAAAAAAATAAACAATTAATTACATATAATTTTTCTCTTTAACTTCATTTGTTGCATCTTTAATATCCTGATTATTTTCTCTTAATATCATGATTTATTTTACCTTTAACACATTGATTTATTTTATTTTTAACAACGTGATTTATATTTTCTATAGTACTTTGATTTATTTTTCTAATACATTAATTTTTTTTAATTTAGAATAATAATTTTTTTTCTTCTTTAACACTCTCCCTCAAAGTTAGGAAAAAAGTTTAAAATGTTGAGTTGCTTGCACCTTTAATTAACATGTCTATAAGTTGGGTATTCAACTTTTATTTATTTAAAATAAAAGTTTTTGACACTTAATTAAATAAAATTGAAAAAAATTGAGTACTCAAATCTAGTTGAAAAACATAAATTTATTAAAATTTTAGATTGGTTACAAATACAAAACAAGCAAGATTCAAGACAACCAATAACAAGTTTTAAAATTTATATTTTTTCACGGCTTACGAGAAAATTATACTGTTCAAATGAAATTATGGCGGCAATATTGACCGGGATTTTTGTTCTTCATTTTTCTGTAGGAAATAAATGTAGAATAGAAGGCTTTAGTTCCATTACTTTTGAAGGTCATGTTTCTGTTCAGGACGGGAGAGATTTAATGAAGCATTTCGGTTCTCAGGTATGAATCCTGTCGCTCCGCCTTCAGTTTCAGCTTTTAATTTTCCCATTTTCCCGAACGCCGTATTTTTTTCTATTTTGCAATAGGCGGATTATTGAATTTCCAAATTCTCATCGTTTCCGATAGAATTTCTTCAACCCTATTTTTTATTATAATTTTTTCTCTGTTTCTAGCAGATCTCCGTTTCCTCCTGCTCGCCATCTTTCCCTTCTGGTCAGTCTTTTTTCATTTACTCAATTTTCTTTTGGGTTTTGGCACGATAATTTTTACTTCAGATTCAGCTACCAACCACCTCATTATAACTTTATCTAGAATCTTTTCGGGGTTATTACAGAACCTCCTGATATCAGGAACTGGTTTTCGAGTTATGAGTATGAGTCTTTTATGTTGGATACAAATGATATCTATGCGGATACTTCTGTGGAATGTGAGGACGATAAAGATAGATTTGTTAATGAGAAGACTAACAGAAGAAAGGGGTATGACTGGATGAAACCTGGAGAACTAAGAAAAAGGGATGAAATGAATGTTAATGATGATGTTTCTTCATATAAGTTTATTAAAGGTAACAGCTTTTGTGAAATCAATAAACATGAGGACCTGAATTTGAGCAAGGTAAAGTTTCTTGATCTCTATTGCCCCTTTTTTGTATCTTGTCCTGTTTTTAATAGTTTACATGATTCTGTTCTAATTTTCACTCAGGCAGTCACTTATGGCTCTTTTCGTATGCTTGTTTTGGTTATACCGCAATTAAACATGACAATCTGTTACATTTTAGGTTCCTGATGCTTTGCTTTCCTCCTCAATACTTTCTGGTTGGTATAATTTTTTCTTGTGTTTTAAGATATTTATAATAGGTAGCCCAGTCATTAGTTGTTTGATGAAAGAAAAAGGATAAAGGTTGGAACTTTCAATAATCAATTCCAAGAAAATATTAGTAGTGTGTTTAATCATTGTTCTTGTTGTTGTTTGCTATCTAGAGCCTCCTGACATCAGAAACTGGCTCTCAAGCTATGAATATCAATCTCCTGTGCTGGATACTGTGGATTGTTTCAACTGCTCTGCTTCCAACAAAAGTATTTCTGAGAAAGAGGGAGTTGTTGGAAAGTGCCAAGGGAATAAAGAAAAAAACTTGGGGGACCTAAGGAAATGTAGTGATTGCCATGAAGAAGGTAGTGGTCAGGTGGATCCGCCAAATGCTACAGTTCTTCCAAAGATGGTAAGCATGAAAGCCAAATTTTAATAAATTATATTTTATTTCTTCGTCTTGAAACTTAAAGATAAAATTAGTGAGACATTGATTTAGGTTGTGTATGTTTCTCAAGTCTCAGTTCTTACACTTTCAAAAACTTGAAGATTTTAAGTCTACATGAAGTAGAACTTATCGATTCATAGTTACTCCTTATTATTTCTAACTTAACAAGAGAGTTTTGAGAATCTTTAAACTCTGTATAATTTTAATGAAAGAGGGTTTACCAAATGTAAGGAGTAGTTATAATAAAATATTCTTGACCATCTTCCTGTTTTGTGGAAGTAGTCTAATAGATGTATCTAAGTAATAAGATAGATATATTTTAGATGAAGATCAAAGTGCTTAGATAAAAAAAAGCTTGATTCTTTTGTTACACAAAAACCTAACATATTTAAAAGCTTAATAGAACAAGACGAGCAGAGAAAGGGCGAAAACGTGAACAAATTGGTAAGAACTAAATCTTATGAAAAGCTAAATTTCACCAAATGGAATAGAATAATGTTTTCTATACAAAGATATATTCATGTAATTGTGATATTTATGTATTATTCAATTATTTAGCTTGTTTAAGAACTTACGCCTATAGACTTGCTATTGGTGTTAGTTTATTATTTTATATTTAATTAATATCCTTAATAAATAACAAAAATATTGTAATGTAGACATATTTCAGTAACATGAGATATGATACATAACCAATAAAGAAAAATAAACATTTCTAGAAAATACGTTGAAAAATATAAAATTTTAATTTCTTTTTCTAGTAGAGATAATAGTTTTGGGAAGTTTCATAATAAATGGAAATTAGAATATTTCCTATGTTCCCAATTTTTTCTGTTTAACTTA